CCATTTAATATTTTTTAATTTCGGAAATTGATCTAGTGATTGGATTTCGATGTATCTTATACCATTAGAACCGTCTCATCAAGACGAATCGAATGGCGGTAAGAACATCTCTCTACGATTAATATTGGCAGAGTTATTACACAAAAACCATTAATATTTTTTTAATTTCGGAAATTAATCTAGTGATTGGATTTCGACGTATTTTATACCATTAGAACCGTCTCATCAAGACGAATCGAATGGCGGTAAGATCATCTCTCTACGATTAATATTGGCGAAGTTATGATACAATAAAGTTTTAAGTATAATTCTGGCTAAAATTATGTTAATTTTTGGCCGGAATTATGATATACAAATATAAGAAATTTTTTATATAGTCACATCTCTTTATAATCACCAAATATGGACTGTCCCAAATGTGTGACTATAAAGAGAGTTGACTGTATTTTACTTTATGTATTTATAAATTATATTTTGTTTAATAAATTATCAAATGCGCAGCGGAAAAAAAAATAAAATAAAATAAAATAAATATAACTAAATAATTACTATAAACTAAATTAAATATTATAACTATTCTACTATTTTATTAATTTATTTTATTCTATTTAATATTTACAGCTATAATATAGTATAAAATCTAAATCACATAATATATTTAATTATTCAATAGAATTAAATTATATAATTTACTGCAAGAAATAATATTTAATTAATTCATTTATTATTAAGTAATTAAGAATATTAATAACAGAATTAAATACAATTTTAAATAGCATTGAGCATTCATTATTTCATTTTACTTTTTTCAATTATTATTTTATTTGAAATATACTTTTATATATTTTATTTTTAGTTGTTTTTGCAAAATGTAAAATAAATAAAATATTTGAAAAAATTTTTATTATTTAAAAAATTTTTTATATTAGATTAGTACTATTGAAAACATTGGATGTAGTATTTGATTTTCCTTCAATAGTACAAAAATTTGATCAAAAACTTTTAATATATATAAACTATTGGAAAACTGAAATCTTTCAATATCTCAATATCTCCAAATCTTTCAATTTCCAATAAAAAGTTATTGAATACTTTTTAAGTACATCATTACAACATGGCACTAAACCACATTTTACTTATAATTTTGAAACTTTTATTCAAAGGTTCAATACAATAACTTTTGAAAAAATATAGTTAAATGTCATTTTAACTATAGGTATAAGTTAGAATTTAACAAATAACATATTGGCTGATTGGAAAAATCAAGCCAATTAATATTTAAGCTCAGTTGATGGGTTCATTATATAACTGATGGGTTACTTATTGTAATTAGCATATAAAATTATGGGAGGCTTTTCTGATCAGCCAATATGATTATTTTATAATGTAAAAGAATGCAACTTCCATACTCTGCACATAATGACAATAATTTAAGTTCAGATGGTTTTAACGGTTTTAGTTAACACTGAAATTTAATATAAATAAAATTTTAAATATAAGCAGTTAGTATATAAACAACAAAATTTTTGTTAAATGTTACAAATGGTTATAAAATAAGATAATATATAATGATAAAATATAAAAAAATTGAATAAATAATATTTAGTTATATTACATATTTTTTAAAAGTAAGTATGAAAAAAAAAAATATATATATATATATGTATGTATGTATATTCTGCTATTGTAAATTCTTGGAACAAAGTAATGAAAGTAATGACGATAATCAATAAAATACAGTATATTATTCAAAAATTTAACCGTGGAAGTTATTGCATCCAAGAATATTCTGTTGTTGATGAATTTGACATTGCAAATTATCCGTATTCATGTTATTTACAAAATTTACATGACTCTTATTAACGAAATTTCCGTTAATATAGTTTTGATTTTGATCTACTAATTGTGATGGTATGGTCGCAACTGGAGAGTAAGAATTCATAGAAGATTGATGATTTTGCGTATTCAAATTGTTTAAATTCATAATTTGATTAGACTTTGGTCTAACAATAATTTCAAATCCAGGAATTTCGAATTTAAAAATATTACATTGATTTACATGTTGTTGAAAAGGATCAAAAGTCGTCGAATTCGGTGAGTTAATAAAATAATTTGAAGCTAGTTGTCCATTAGTATTATAATTATTACTTTGCGATACATGAGGACAACATTGCGGAATTGAACTGACAGGATTAAGAGAATTTACAAAAGGTGTTTGAGAAATATTATTATTTGTCATGGAATGAGAATTAGTTTGATCGTAGAAATTATTTAAATTATTACGACTATCCGCATGTAAATCAGTTAATTGTAAATTACTAGAAAAATTGAGATTTTGATGATTTTGACTCATTTTGAATATTTTATCTTAAAATATATTTTAGATATGTATTGTATATATTTTTTGTTGAAATAAAGATGATTGCGATGGTCTTGCTTTTGATCCTTTTATTATTAAAAAAAAATATATATACATATCAACTGCAGTGAAATCAAAACTTTAGAACTTGATGCAAAATTTAAATTGTGAACATCTGTTTGATCAATCAGTATATCGACCATGACAAAGCATAATATACAAATAAACAAGATACAAAGAAATATGTATTTAATAATGCATCAAAATGTAATAAATAATACTCAAAAATGTATAGTGGTTAACTGGTTAAATTACACGTTAAATTACACTGATTCATTTAGTCTTTACTCTTTATAATTCGAATGTTATTTAAATTTACTATATCAGGATTAAAAAAACAAGTGTAAACAAATTTTTTCTTCGGAAATGTTTATTTTTCAAAACCAATGTCAGAAAATTTTTTTATTTTTATTTTTAGAAAACAGAAAAGCGAAACGGTAGATTCAATTACGCGGACAACATAAAATGAGTCTATATGTAATTCTATCACTACACGTCAAGCCACCTTTATTTTTTTTTATTTTTTTCTAGAGATATAGGGTGGCCCAACATAGTTGGGACCACTCTATATCTACACCTCTAACCCTCCCCTAAGGGGGTAATGCATTGGTCGTCTATGCTCCCAGTCTACACTACCTCAGGTTAGAGTCGACCGCAAAGTATTCACAGCTCTTCAAATTGGTTGACCACTAAGTGGTTGGTAGTCCCGCCCCTACCTATTATATCCCCTAAGGGCCTTTTTCGGGTACCAAGATGTTTTAACAAGAGCTATATGAACCTTATGGCAATCCGAATATCCTGAATTTACAGCTCAGATGAGACTCACAGGCTTGTGCAGAGTGGTAGCCACCTACCAGCTCCAGACGTTCGGTCGAGTCAGTGACCAGTCCTAGGACTCGCCATACCAGTCTACCAATGATCACATCAACCACCTCACCATCGGTTGGCATCATTTCAGCTCCCCCTAAGGGTACGGGATCTTCAACGCAGTTGGTGGCTGCGCACGCAGTAATATTCATAGCAAGGATCGTTGGCTGGACGATCTGAACCTGCGTCCTATTGATTGGTCAGATCAATAGGGAGTGTAGACGCCTTAGGCCATTACACTAGGGACGCCAATCCTTAACCAATGTCAGAAAATGCCGTACGCATAAAAGATAATGTATTGAAAAGCTAATCATGTGATTTTCCGATGATCCGCTATTTGACTTAACTTGCATAGATAAGAAATTTTAAGTATTATAACACAAAGATAATTAATATTTTTGGATCAATCAAAAAATAAAAATAAGTTATACAAATGTTTATATATAGTATATATTTTTTTAAAAAAAAAGCTACAAAAAGAGCAGAAACTTTAATTATAATACAGAAATATGTAAGATCATTTAATAATGAAAGATCATTTAAAAAAAAATCCTACCAGAAAAAAAATTAAAAATTTATCAGTGGTAAATTTTTTTTATTCGGAATTCACCAATAATAAGTTGAAATGTGTGGGTGTGACCATGACTTTGAATTTTATGCATCATTATGTCCTAATTTTTAATATATCAGATATGCACATTTATTATACATAAATAAACACAAATTTTGTATATGATATCTCGGGATTGTTTATTAAGGAAACCTTTTTTTAGTGGGTGAAATCCTATTATCGAATAATACTTGTTAATTAATATTACCACATGAAGAATTTAACCTTTAATATTATTAATCAACCACTTCAACGATAATTAAACTATAGCAATCTTGTAATCCGAAAATATTAAACTACCGTCATTTATGCTACTTATTCTCACCTCAACGATAATTAACTATAAGGGATCGAATATATCAATCTACCGTCATGTATGCTACTTATGTTATAATCTATAACTGAAGTAACTCGTAGATTAAAAAGATTGACAAATGTGATTATGCGTAGAATACGTATGATCTAAATATAATTCGTATTTACAATTTGCATTATTTCTCTAAAGTTTTTTTCTGCATCATTTCTACGTATTATTTTTGTGTATATATTTACAAAATTCATGGCTAGTTTATACATAAATTACTAGATAAGTTATTGGCGACATTTCTAAAACACGTTATATTTCGAATCATATGAAAATATGTTGATTGCGCATATTTGTTTACAACTTATACAGATTTTAAACTTTTTACCATATAAAAAGAAGTTCAGGGATTGAAAATTCAAAATCAAAGTTTTCTTCAAGCGTACATTGGTTTGGTAAAGTAAGTGAATAAAATTTAGAGTTCGGTTTACACCGAAATAATGCGTGATCATCATAAAAATAAGTAGTGTGATATTTATAATGATAAATCCTGCGATGTGTGGACAGTATTAGGAGCCGGCGTATGGAATCGATGTAGAATATGCTTGTATATATCAGTTTAATCACAAATTTTTCTGGAAAATAAAAGATTTATCTTTAAAAATGAAATTGTAAAATGTATGTATTTTATTAATTATAGTAACAATTGATTTTTTATTTGTTTAAAGATAATTGTAAAATGAATGGTATCAGGTATTACTAAGTAAAAAATATGTATTTTAATTAATTATAGTAACACAAAAAAAAAATTACTATAAATGGTAATATATATGGTTAAATTATATGTTTTAAATAAAATAAAATTAAATATCATAATTTGTTATTATATTTAACCTTGATGGTTATTATACCCAAGAGAATTTTGTTGTTGAAATTGATATTGAGAGTTATTCATAATAAAAGATTGATTATTATTATTATTATAAATATTTTGCATATTCATAGTATTCATGTTATTTACAGGATTTACATAACTTCCACTAGCGGAATTTCCATCAACATAATTTTGATTAGCCGCAACGGAAGAGTAAGAATTCATTGAAGGCATGTTTAAATTATTTAAATTGTTTAAATTGTTTAAATTCATAAATTGATTAACCTTTGGTCTAATAACAATTTCAAAACCAGGAATTTCGAATATAAAGATATTACTTCGATTTAATTGTGGTTGAAAAGTTGTATCCGGTAAGTTAACATTTGGATAGTATCCATTAGTATTATTAATATTATCATGAAAATGATTTTGCAAAGTATTAAAAGCATTCATGTTAAGAGAATCAAAATTGTAAAAAGGGTTTAAATTGTCTTGACCACCCGCTTGTAAATCAGCTAATTGGGGGTTATGAGAGAAATTGTGATTTTGATTCATTTTAAATATATTTGTGTAAATTGTAAAAATTTTAATTTATTTTTTTTTTTGTTTTTTTTTGTTTTTTTTTATTTTTTTATTCTCTTTTTTTTCTGCTTTAAATAATTCTCCGTTGAATGATCAACAGTTACTTTTGGCGCAATGGAAAAACTTTTATTTACAAAATAAATTCAGCGTGATTTATTTTGTATTACTTTAATAAAAATTTTTAAAATACAAAAAAAATAATTTAATTTAATGTAAATTTATAGAAAACAACAATAATAATATAGTACTCGCGTCAAGTCCCCATACATTTGCGGAATTTCCATCAACATAGTTTAGATTTTTGATTTGTAATGATACATCCGTAATAGAAAAAGTATGAATCCAAACATTTTTACATTTTATGACATCCCGCAGTCAAAGATGTTTGAAGAATGAATAAGTGTACGTAGATAATCTCGATCTTTCAATAAAACCGAAACTTTCGATATACTAGAGTTTGATTATTAAATCATAAGAATAAATTTATATTCGATATATCGAAAAAATTGAAATTTTGACACATTTTTGAAGATTTATATTGATATATTTTGATTAATTGCTTTTCGCGATAATAAAAAAAAAGAAAAAGGGAAATTCCTTGATTAGGATTTAATAATTATATAAATACATATAATGACTTATAGAATAATATATAAATCGTAGATTGAGATTTCAGACACATTGATTTTCTTTTAATTCAAATTCTTTGAAAAATTAATTAACTTTGAGATCAAATTTTTTTTTTTGTGTATCAAAAAATGATTATCATTAATAATAACAACGTTTTTATTTGTTTTGTTATTAAATGAGTTTATCATAACAATTATGCAATAATAGAGATTTCCTTTTTTGATAAACTCAAAGGCATATAGTTATTCGAAATTTCAAATCTTTTTTTTTTTTTTTAAGGATTACCTTAATCCGTCATATCACTCATATGTTGCGATTGGAATTGATACAACGTCACACCAATTTCACTTAAATTTGTCTTATACAGCATTTTATCGCAAGAATTTTGGTCTTATTTTTGAATTTTGACTGATTCTAACTTTTGCATAAAAAATTTTGAAAAAAGTTTAGGAGGTGCTTATTTTCGAGGGTTGCTTAATTTGGTAGTTATTGGATGTGAAGGTAAACGTAATACTTTTATATATAACCATATTTTATCCCAATCCTTTTTACTGGCAAAATAACGTTCTACCAAGATCGTAATGATCCTAATAGACTGAACAGCAGTTGTTATAACATAACATGATAAATCATCAATCTAAAATTAGACGAAACACTAGATAACAAATTTTCCTATTTAGAAATTCTTTTGTTTTGTTTTTATTTCCAAAACAGGATTAGAGAATATCATAAACTTACCATATTTATGCTTTATATATAATTATATATGTATTGTATAATGTAATTGCTAATTGCCTTATAAATTAGTAAAATGTTTATTTTATAATCCAAAAAAAAAAAATATACGTAAAAATATTATAAAGTTAAGAAATTACGTACATATATAAAAAATTATAATGAAAAATTCCATTATGCAACATAAAAAAAAAAACCCCCCCGAAATATTCAACTGACCAATAAAGAAGAAATGATTTACATTTTGTACATTCTGCATTAACGCACAAAGCTATTTATATACATTAGTCTTATTGTGATAGCTTCAAAAAAAAAAAAAAAAATTTCTTTTCTTCTTTCCAAGAAATTTCTATATTCTTTACACTTTCACTTTTTTTTTTTTTTAAAAAAAAAGAAAGAGGGAAGCAAAAAGAATATATATTTATTTATATTTAAAAAAAAAAATGTCATTATTACCATTATTTAATAATACTCAACCAACTTTATCATCACCAAATAGATTCTTTTTAAATAAAAATTTAAAAAGTAATATATTATTCGGATTCTTTACTATATTAATAATATGTTCTATAACAATTAATTTATATCATTTTATTAATTGTTATTTAGAAGATGATTTAGAATATCTTATAATAGACAATAATAATAATAACAATAGTAATAATAATAATAATAATAATAATAATAATAATAATAGTAATAATAAAGAAATTTTATATAATAATAATAATAATTCAACCCAAATTTTTTTACCTGATGTATCATACCCTAAATTAAAAGATTTAATTATCGTAACAGGTCATGCAATTTATTTGGGTGGTAGTAATAATCATGAAATAGGAAATGATGAAGAGAATGAAGAAAATTGGATTTTGGAAGATTATCAAAAAGGAAATGGTCAAGTTAAAGCTTTTATTAATCATGTTAAAAAAGGAATTGAATTAGTTAAAGAAAATGATGAATCTTTATTAATATTTAGCGGGTAAGGTTATATATATATTATTAGTTACTAAAAGAAAATGAACTTTTTTTTTTTTTTTGAAAAATTCTTATTTTATTTTATTTTATTTTTAAAAAAAATTAAAAAGAGGACAAACTAGACCATCCGCTGGACCACGAAGTGAAGCACAAAGTTATTATGTTAGTTAGTTAATAATAATTTTTTTTTTATATTTTAAAAAGAAAATTCCTTTTTTTTTCTAATATTAAAATTTTTTTTTTTTAGATATTAGCGCAATCACTTAACCTTAATTTATCCTCAACCATAAATTCCACCACATCATTAAATACAAGAATAATAACTGAAGAATATGCAAGAGATTCATATGAAAATTTATTATTCTCAATATGTAGATTTAATGAATATACAAATAGTTATCCAAGAAATATAACTGTAATAGGTTTTCAATTTAAAAAGAAAAGGTTTTCAGAATTACATAGATTCGCGTTGAAATTTCCTTTAGATAGATTTAATTATATTGGTATTGATCCTGATAATACAAGTCCTTTAGGTAGATTTGTTGGTGAGGTAATTATACCCTAATATTTAATTTATTTAATAATATTCTTTTGAAAAATTTTTATTATTATAAAATTATTAAATTTTTTATTTTTTTTTATTCTTTTTAGAGTGTCAATTCTTTGGGACCTTTTAAACAGGATTTATATGGTTGTCATGGTAAACTATTAGATAAAAAATTGACCAGGAATCCTTATAGAAGAAGGTAAGCATTTGATGACATTCAGATTTCTAATTATATATATATATATATATTTTTTTTTAAATTTTTTTTTTTTTTTTTTTGATAGTCATCCTTACCAAATTAGTTGTCCAGAATTATCTCCATTACTTAATTATTGTCCTGAAGATCGAATACAATTATACCCTGATACATTACCTTGGGAATATTGATATCAATTATGTATTATTTGATATTATTTGATATTATAAAATAATAATATATATTTTTAGTGTAAAAAAAAAATATAATATATTTTGTATACTCTTAATACTCTTTAAAAAGACAATTTATAATTAATACATAGTTTTAATAAAAAATGAGAATTTTTAATTTAATAAATAAAATATCATGGTATATAGTATATATATATATATAATAATAGTATATATGTGTGTGTATAAATCAAATATAGATTCTATAATTTAACATTATGAGAAGAAATTTACAATAACTATTTAAAAAAAAATTAATAGATCAAATTAATAGTTTAACTTGATAATAATTTATATAATTGTCCATTTATTATTATTATATCCTCATTAAACTAAATTTAATAGTGCCCACTTGGCGGATAAGGATTTGGTGGGTAACCTTGATTAAAGGTATTTTGAGGTGGTGGATATATATTTCCACCAGCTGGAGGAGGATAAATATTATTAGGTGGTGGGTAAGGATTATTATTAGGTGGATAGTTACTAGGTGGATAACCAGATTGAGGATATGAACTATTGCCGGTAATGGGAGTTGGAATCGGTATCGGAAAAGCTAAATTACCACTATCGTGTCGAGTAGGAGCATTAATTGGCCTGTAGGATGGAGTAGATATCGGCGGAGAAGATATCGGCGGATAAGCAGGAGGAAAACCTTGTGATTGTAAAGGTGGTGGGTATACATTTCCTGGAGATGACTATTTCAAAAATAAAAAAGTATTTTAATTAATAAACCATTCTAATAATAAATAATAATAATAAATTTAACACTAGTTACGTATTGAGAAGAAGGTGATTGCGTTCGATTAGGACCAAAGAATTGTGGTGGTTGAGATTGGGGAGGAGAATTATGGGGAGGATAAACATTTGGAGGAACAGAATTAGGAGGATAAACATTTGAAGGTGCAGAATTAGGAGGATAAACATTTGAAGGAGCTGTAGAACTAGGAGGAGGATAAACACTTGAAGAATTAGGAGGAGGATAAGCATTTGGAGAAGTAGGATAAGTATTTGATGGAGGATAAGCAGATGGAGCAGATATAGGTTTATTCACAACTGGAGGAGGAGCAATGTGAGATGCTGAATTTGGGTACGAATTTGGTACTGGTGCTTGGGGAGGTAAAGAATTACTATGTACAGGTTGATTATGTACATGTTTCTGTGGTGGAGGTTCCTATAATATAGAATTAATCATTCAATTGCTTTTTTTTTTTAAAAAAAAAAAGATTATTTTAAATTTTAAAATTTAACTTACGTCATAATAAAATGTCATCTCAAGTGAAACTTCGCCGGCATACTTGTTACGAAAACTTATTTCATGCCATGCTATCATAATTATAATTAAAAAATTAATTTAAGATTTATTTAAAATTAATTAATAGAAAAGTAATTAGTAAATTAGTAAATTTACCATCCCATTCGGTTTTATCCAAAACTTCAGATAAATCTATGGTTGCGTCCCCAATAAGAACAGGCTCCCGTTTATCGTCATTAAACACCTGAAACTTCAATTTCTTGGAGGTATTCTTCATAACACTAAAGCGTACTTCTTCGTCCCATTTAGGGTGTTGACCACCTCTTTTGTCTGCTCTTATCCTTTTTGAATCACCATCCAAATGAAAAGCAACAAATGGATCTCCTTTTCCAACAACATCGCGAGTACTTAAATTCCTCTATATCACATTAAAAAGGTAAATATGATACGTTATTTAAAAAAAAACTACGTTATAACAAAAGTATTCATTTAAAAAGATAGTATTATACTAAACTAAACATATTTTATTATTTTTTTAAAAACATTTATTTGTTAGCTGTGGAAAGGGAGTAAAAAACTATTTTGAAGTACTTACCGCCTCCATGGCAACAACTATAAGTGTACCAAGTCTTTTTTGTTCAGTCATATTTTAACGCGAAAAAAAAAAGTATTTGATTATAATAGTAAAAGTGAAATAGAATATAATAGAAACAATATAGAATTTTAAAGAAATTTTTTTTTTTTTTTAGAATATTAATAGGATTAATAGGATTAATATAGATGTGGCGCGAAAAAAAAAGAAAAATACAGAAAAAAAATGGTTGGTCAAGATTACCCTTTGTATTTAAAAGTGTGGCAACCGGAATACGGAGCTCGTAATGTAACCCAACATTCATATTTGAAAACCTAACATTCATATTATAATTTCCAATTCAAAATCCATATAAAGTAACGTTTATTTTTTTTTAGATATATTGCCAAGATTCCCTTAGTCATTTTTGAAGAAAATGACATTATGTTTACAAATTTTTGGTAAGGATTTACAAGAATACTGGGGCTGGTTAAAATAATATACCGCCACTGAGTTAAAAATAAGATATCAATAAATAAATCAAATAAATATTAATGCAATTTGATTATTGTAATATTACCCTTAATTTGCATATGCCGCCATGCCGGTATCATACTTTTACTGTTGAAACCTAAATTTGTACTATTATAGAATGAGAAATATATTTATTATGCAGGTTTGCTAGGCAAACAAAAAAGTTCGTGTCACAGAAGAAAAATCAAACAAAATGTATGGTTAAAAGATGAAAGTATCGCTTTATCGAAAATTGTTGTTAGACGAGAATATTTACAAATTAAAATTGTTTGAAATGTAAAACAAGATTTTTATGAAAAATCTTTAAATTTTAAATCGTACTAATCGAATTGGAAGAATTCATAGATATATTAGTGATTATTAATAGAATAATAGAATATCAATATTACACAGATCATTTCGCAAATTATTGATATACCAAAAAAAGTTATATAATTATGATATCACTATTCCTATATTCGGCAAAGAAACTTTATGGCTTGTATGGCTTGCCAATGAAATGTGGTATGAATTGGTTGTGAATGTCACGATTGTCATGTTGTTTATTAAACCCCGGCATACTTGATGAGAAAGGTATTACTGCATTAGGCAATTACAAAAGGTTAGTTAAAAATAAACAATGAAAAAATAACTCAAGGTACTAAAGAGAAGACTCGGGAACCTTGTGATAATAATCAAGCTTTTAAATTAGGCAAGATAAGGTTTGTATAGATCATTTACTGTATTAGGCAATTTAGTTGGGAAACTCGTAGTCGAAAAAAAGTATTATAAAAGTCTGTCAGTATGCCTGAATTAATTTCATTCCAAACTTCAACTTGTTTTGACATCCCAAATCCTTAAAATGAATTCGCCAGATTTTTTTATGACAAATTTGATAATAATTATTCAAAGAATTTACAACAATTAACTAACGATAATCAAGTTCAATCTATTCCTTTTCCGGCCATAACTAACAATGATATCTCTTCAACACTTTATCCGGATTATTCCTATACACCGCAGCAGTATGCTAATCGTAACACTAATAGTTTACCATATTCTGTTAATTCATTTTCGACATTAAATTCGAAATTCCTGGATATGAAATTATTATTAGACCAAAGTCTAATCATAATATGAATTTAAATAATAAGCTGGACGTTATAAATTCCATCAATTGATCTCCAGTATCGGTGGAAATTCTTCTGTTAATGGAAGTTATAATGTTTCTAATAATCAACATTTTATTACAACAAAATTTTTTTAGATTTAACAATTTTCATGGTTAAAGATTTACTACACATGATTTGTATCATTAATAAGAATACCGGTATATATTAATTTAATTTATAAGATAAATTTTTATTTTTAATAGTAGACTAATAATTAGTTTAGCAGTTGAAAAATTTGAAGGGAGGGGGGGAATTTTAATATTAAAATTTCGGAAGTTTTCGGTAAAATCGGAAATATTCGGTACCACTCAATTTTAGGGGTGCTTTTCTAAATTTTCAAAAATTAGAGAGGGGAAGACGTTAAACTAAAAATTAATTTGGAACGGGCCTTAATTTTTCATTAAATCTACGTGTGGTCGTGAATTCATACAATAATTACATATTTGTATATTGTAATATTTTACTATTATCTAGGAAAAAAAGATAATATTTTGACTGCTTATTTATTTAGATACCCATTAAAATATTAATATTTATTTATTTGTTTATTTATTATTATTTTGAAATAGAATATTTGGAGAGATACTCCAAATTTTGGTATGTTGCACAGAACAAAGACGCCAGCTGACGAACTTATATTATAATAATAGATCAGAAGTGGTATATCGACTATAAATTTCTCTTAAAAGTTGGATTAGCTGTCGCCCGTTTATTTTAGTTACAAAAAATTTGAATATTTAGATTATTAATTGCCTTAATGTACTGAATTAATTTCTCAATTATATTTCTTTAAATTATTGGGAAAATCATCTGTCGGAATTTTGTCCGACAAAGGAAAATCTCGTATACGAAATCATGGATTTAATGCTCGAAATTAGATATACTTCTCCCAGTTCTACAATATGTATCAATTCAGATTTACCGATATTAGGCGCAAACCTAAGGAAAGTACTGAATGTATAATTAATTGTTGGAAATTGAAGTTGTTTGCTCGATCTTGAAAAATCGGTCAATTTATACGTACAGAAAAGTAAAGTACAGAATTATATGACAATCATCCGCGCATCGTAAGAACACTTTAAAAAATCTCGTTTCTAAAAATTTTCTCAAGGATTAAAGATTGTATGCATATCACGTAAAATCAATATCATTACAACGTTGATCCAAATTAAGATTGAAAATTTCGAATATGAAATAATCGCGGGTAAAAAAAATCTTTACCGGATTTAAATCAAAATCATTTAGAATTGCAATACGAAAGAAATAACTAATAAGCAACCAATAATCATGTCAGAAGAATCCTGAGCAATCTGTTGTTCCGCTATGATATTGGCAATAAAATAATACGTCTGTTGCTGCTGGTGATTCTTTAAATGCCAATCTATTTACACAGAAGCTCTAACGATTTAATCAAAAATAATTCTTGCGATTAAATTTATTTTTCACTGTGAAATTATTTATATTTAAAAATATATTTTAATTTATTTTAAAAGATTTCGATACTCTTTTTTTTTTAATAAATTTAATTACTTACTTCTTGTAATCGGATGTATACGCTTAAAATTATTTTATTTGTTCGACATAATTATGATATAGTTTATCATAAAATTTTTGATCTCATACGCAGTAAACTTTTAACATTCACATGATAATGCAAAAAAATGTAATTGTAACCTATTATTGTTCAATTCGAATGGCCGGCATTTTTTTGAGATTGACGATCATCGGAAAGAAACTTAAAATAAATCTTGAAATAATTAGATTCTTTATTCAATTATTCATCAATTATTCATTAAAAAAAATTTAATAACATATTGACACTTACGACCAAATTTTTTAAAGGTTTGGCCGCAAACTCTCACTAAAAAAGAACAACCAAATAAGTCGAATCATTTTACGTTTACTGCGTCAATTCAGAAAATGTTCTAGTAGTGTAACGATCCTAATCAGTATTTTGTTTCATTATAGTTACACAATTTTCTGCGGTCTATTATCAATGGAGTAAAGACCAAAAAAAGGTTCCCCTCTCAATTTTTTTCGATACCCATTAAAAAATGTGTAATATAAGCTCGGCTTTTTCGAAAAAAATTTTTAAGAATTATAGATTTTTAATTCTAAAAAAATCCATAAAAAAATTTTTCACAATGTCAGGAAATTCGGATAATTATAATAATAATGATAAAGGTTCACATACTCCTTCTTCTTTTTCACCTTCACCTAAAAATAATTCAAATAATAGAAACTATAATAATAATAATAATAATAATAATAATTCTACGACTCGTTGGACACCAAGATATCCAACAACTCTTCCAACAAAAGAACAACTTTCAATTTCCGAAGTACCTTATGTGGACTCGCATACACATTTACATTACGTTTTAGACAAATTACCTGATAAGTTTAATGTAACTTCTTATGAAATATTAAAGCAAGATCATTTTCCATCAAATTTTGAAAGTTGTATAAATGTATTATGTGATCCATTATCATTTAATTCAAATGAAATATTTCCAGATACACATTTGGATTGGAAAAAAATGGTGGATGTACCTTTCATGTATTTAGCGGTCGGAGTACATCCACATAATGCAAAAGATTATAATGATTATATTGAAAATAATATGATCCAAATTCTTAAACATCCAAAGTGTATTGCTTTGGGTGAAATTGGCTTAGATTATCATTATAATATTTCTCCTAGAGATACTCAAAAAGATGTTTTGGTAAAACAAATTGAAAAAGCCATTGAATTAGAAAAACCTTTAGTTATACATACTCGTGAGGCTGAAGAAGATACATGGGATATATTAACTGGTTTTGTACCAAAAGAGTGGAAAATTCATGTTCATTGTTTTACTGATTCTCCCCAATTTGCAAAGAAATTATTAAATTATTTTCCTAACCTTTATATTGGTATAACTGGTGTTGTTACTTTTGGTTCCGCTAAAAATACTCAAAATGTTATTAGAGATATTGTTCCTTTAAATAGGTTTTTATTGGAGACTGACGCTCCTTATATGATTCCAGCTAAATTAAATAGAAATAAGAGATCTGATAGTAAAGTCACTGTTTGTCATTCTGGAATGATACCTTTAATTGCTGAGAGAATTGCTCAACTTAAAGGAATGGAATTAGATGAGATAATGAATCATGCAAGAGAAAATACTAGAAATATGTATGGTATATAACAGGAAAAATATAAATAAAATGTTAAATCAAATTATTTTAAAAAAAAAGTTCTAATTAAAAATATCTATTTACAATAATAATTTTACATTATTAAAATAAAAATAATATCGTACGTAAGCTTTGCTAAAATCGATTTTTAAACCGATATGTGTATACAACATAGTAGAAAATTATCCTATAGAATTAATTTATTTAATTGTCACATATTTGAAAATAAAAAATCAAGTGGAAATCGATCCAAGTTCAGAGAAATCCTTTTCCAATTCTTCTGAGTATGGCAATGAATCTTCATTTACATCATCACCAGATGCCTAATAAAAAATGAAATAAAAATAAGAATAATATAAGAAAATAAAATAAGGAAAATAAAAAAAAAGAAAACAAATTCTCTAAATATCTTAATAAATTTTTAATACAAACACATAGTGAAGCCCAACGTCGAAATATTTTGTCATTCAGTACAAAATGTTTTCCATTCTCAATTTGATAACATCCACCAGGATGATTTTTACAAGTATCCATGTATTTAGACTTGAGAATGCTTAGCGAGGTCTCATAACGAGACTTAAAACTTTCAGGTTCATCCTAAAATAACATCATAGTTAGCAAAAAAAAAGGTTCCTCTCCCAAAAAATTCTCTAACATAAAAGTAAAAAAAAATTTTACATCATCAGAATGTGATTCTGAGTCCAAGTATCGTTTTCGACGCCCTGTGAAAACAAAAGAAAAAAAAAATATTTGATTCTTTGTAATTAAAATGAATGACTTGTATTTTTAAATGGAGAATAAAAATACTTTTTCTATCAGGAATATAACCACGTGCTGAGCTACTTTCTAAATATAATTATAAGTTAACCATAATTAAAATTAGACTGAAGTCGAATGTTTTAAAGTCTTACTTTTAGGAGGAACATAATCTTCATCATCATCTGAAGCAGACATTTGGTCAAATGTAGAGTTATATTTTGGCTCATAATTCGTAAATTCGTAAGTATCATCTACAAGAAATTACAATGAATAATAAAAAAGAGATAGGTTTATCGATTCGATACATTTCTCACCAACTAATTTTTTCGTCAACAAATCCCTTCTGCCAAGAGAGTCATCATCAACCAGAAAGGGATTAAATTCAGAACCGAGTAAAGCAAGCGCAGTTTCAGCAGGTCCAGGTGGTTGATTAGTCGAAGAAAAATTTTGAAAAGATATATTGCTAAAAGATCCAAACTGTGTAATAATTTCATTCGTTTTTGGAAATCCTGAATTATCTTTTTTGATCTCGATGATCGATTGTTCTGTGTTTCCTTTACCCTTATCTTTACTGCTGGGAGTTCCAGGAGACGTATCACTTCCTATCTTTGAATTAATTTCTTTGATCTGGCTCATCAATTGTTTTACTTCCGGGTGTTTTCGAACTTCGTCCCAATCCTTGATATTCAATACGAGTTCTTGGTACTTCTTGAGGGCCGCAATATACCAATCAACGCTTTTCGAATTATTAGTATCCTTCTTAACGCGAACATAATTACAAAGGTTGGTTACAGATATTGGAAATATTGTGTTATCAGGATTCTTCCAACCTTTTTCGTCCGCGAGAGACTTGTACGAACGACCAACTGACTCATAATAAGGTATCGACTTTTTTTTTGATCTAGCTTCTGAATCTGCTGAATCCGAAGAAGCTCCAGATAGATCACTTCCGTTTTTTACATTTGCAACCTTTTGTAAAATTAAGTTTTGGTTTAAGTTCGGAGATGTGCTTAAAGCTTGTGAATGTGCTGTAAAAGAGCCCGGTAGACTTAAAGGACCTGCGGACACTCCTTCAACAACCACTTCTTCTGTGTCTGATTCATCTATCGTTGAACCTGTATTGGGTGTAACCAGGTTTTTTGTTGTATTATGTGGTTTTGGTGTGGAAAGTGAAGTTGATGACAGTCGTTGCTGAAGACTTTTTGTTGCATCTTTTTCAGGTTCGCTAGTTATGTTCTGCATAGTGTATTATATTTATTAGAATCGCGTGCGAGTTGATTCGTTGGAAAAGTAAATTTTTTTACTCAAAAAAATTCTTGGGTTACGTCATTCGGTCATTGTTATGCTTTTTTATTTGCTTATCTAGACATTGTTCTTGCATCAAATTAAAATATAAAAAATGCTGTGTGACTGTGGATTACTAATTGATCTATTGATCTATTGATCTTATATGCAATTCAAATCTTTAAATTCAAAATTTACCTTTTATCAGCTTAATTTGGATTAAAAAATTTAATATTCAAAGTCGACATAAACACCCGAATATACGCGGAATACAACTTTTCTTAATATATACTATAATTATACTATATACTACATTAAGAAACTTTAAAATGTCAAATTCTGGTTCCTTGAAGGAGAAAGCGATACCTTCAACTTCAACAACAATGCAATTATCATCAAATCAAGTGGATAGAATGAAAAAATCAATTCCGAAATTTAATATTTCTTTTCCATATGCAGCACAACCTGACATTAGTAAAAAAAAATTTTTTAATTTCGAAGAAACTTTTTTTCTTTTGAGATTGTTACTGATTAGTTTTAATTACCTTAAAAGTTCGAGCAAATCAAAAAGATGTTTATTATCAACAAATTTTAGGAGAACAAATGACTAATACATTTCGAATGTTTTTTGGTATGACATTAAAAATTTGGTGTAATCTATTTCTTTTTTTTTTCATAATAACAATAATTATTTTGATAAATTGACTGATTCTACCAATTCAATTAATTTCTAGGAACGCGATTACAACATCAGTATCAAAAGGAAGTTAATGTAATTTCAGATCTGTTTTATTTTTGTTTAACAGCCTTATTGGGTAAGATTTTAAGCTATTTCGAATTTCATTATTCGGTTTATTTCTATATTTTCTATAATTACTTCTCTGTTTATAAAAGGTACTCAAACATTGGGTGAAGAATATTGTGACATTATGCAAATTTCAGAACCAACCAAGCAATTCCCATCCGCAAGTGCAAGTATTTAATTCATATCTGATATTCAACTCATGTATACAACATTTTAATGTTTACGTTATTGATACACCAGAAACGTGCCACGTTAATCTTTTGGCATGTGATATTTCCTTATTTATTCACGCGAGGTATATCAGAATTGCGTAAACGTACGAAACCTTCTTGGAAAAAATCACTACAAAGAACTCAACAAATTCATAATACTAAATATGATCGATTACGAGATTCAATATATAGATTACTTCCTAAATTACAAATATTACTTAAAAATAATGTTCATTCGGTTCATCTTGCTATATTTTATTTTTATGGAGCTTACTATTTTATATCAAAGCGAGCAACTGGAATTCGTTATGTATGTATATTAAGGGAATGTACTTTAGTATGATTGTGAATTTAATTATTGGTTATTATCTAGATATTTACAAGACAGTTAGGGCCTCATGAACAACGTATTGGATACGAGATTCTTGGATTTTTACTTGTAGTACAATTTATCATCCAAGCGTATCGTTTTCAAAAAAGTCTAATTAAAGGAACGGATGATAGCTTATTCAATGAAGTTGAAGAAGAGTAAGCATAAAGATGTTTCATATATTTTTTTAAGAATTCGTTGAGTTAATAAAAGTATTTAAATCAGGGAAGAATCAGATTTGATGGTTACATCAACAGAAGGATTAACACCTCAAGAAATTGCGGCTCGTAAATGTATACTATGTCTTTCACCACGTAAAAATACTACAGCTACCCCTTGTGGACATTTATTTTGTTGGACTTGTATCGTTGATTGTTGTAACAACAAGGTAAAGAAATTTTTTGGGATTTTTTTTTTCTTTTTGAATCGAAATTAATCAAGCATTTTCTTTACGATAGCCTGAATGTCCATTATGTAGACAATACGTCAACATTTCTCATCTCCTTCCAATTTATAACTATTAGACTGACAAGTGTTATAGATTGTAGTTTTAGTTAAATTTTATTAATATGAGGAGAATTAAATAGGAGATTACAACGTACAATTAAATAATTATGAGGAGAATTAAATAGGAGATTACAAAGTACAATTAAATAATTATGAGGAGAATTAAATAAGAGATTACAAAGTACAATTAAATAATTATGAGGAGAATTAAATAAGAGATTACAAAGTACAATAAATAATTATGAGGAGAATTAAATATGAGATTACAAAGTACAATTAAATAATAAGTTATCGATTATTCTAGTTGTTCCAACAAATAAAGCACCCGATATAATTGCGCCTTTTCCTTCTTCAATCTCTTGTAATTCTTCTAAAGTTGTAGGATCAGCTACAGATAAATAGTCTAGTTTTAACTCGAACCCTAAATTTTTTTCCTTAACTGTTTTAGTAGCTTCCTCTATTATTTCATATCCTTTACTCAATAATATTTCTCTGTTTCTTTCTCCTTTACCAAGTCCATTTTTAATGGTAGTTAGAGCGTTATATAACGCTGTAGCATAATTACGCATTTCAGGTGTTAAATATTGGTTACGAGAACTCATTGCTAATCCATTATGCTCCCTTTTGGTAGCCCCAACGTGCATTTCAATAGGAAAATGTAAATCCGAAATTAATGCGCGAATTACTGCACATTGTTGTGCATCTTTTTGACCAAAAAATGTGTGATTCGGTTGCACTATATTAAATAATTTTGCTACTACTGTTGATACCCCCCGAAAAAATAATGGCCTAGTTGTACCTTCTAACTAATGGAATAAAAAAATAAAATTTTTTAAAAAAATTGCACATAATCTCATTAAATATGAATGAATATGTTAATACCTGATGAGATATTCCTTTTACTTCAATAAAAGTACCTTTTTGCTTTTCGATTTCAAGTGGAATACCAGATGGATAAATATCTTTAACTTTCGGTAAAAATACGCTATCGACACAATTTAATGAACGAAGTAATTCTAAATCATGTGAAAGTGTACGAGGATATTTATCTAAATCTTCATTTGGACCGAATTGGGCTGGATTTACGAATATTGATACTACAACTATCGGACAATGCTCACTCGCTTGTTTCACTTTCGACATATAAAAAAGAATTTTGTACAAGAGAACACGATAAGAATTCGTAGAATATAAAGAATGAATTCGATAATACCTTCTTTACCTAAATTTAAATGACCTTCATGTAATGAACCCATTGTAGGTACGAATGCAACTTGTTTATCCTGTTTTATGAATTGCTGTCTCCAACTTCTAAATGAAGGTATAGTCTCTAAAATTTTGATTGATTGTTCTTTTTGAGAACTCATACTTCTAAACCTAAAGAAATTATTTATGGAACCTAGTAATTTAGGTCGTAACATATACATGTGGGCGTAATTATTTCAGATAATTCAGAAATAAGGCGGAGTAATGGTGAAACAAAATTTTTGTTCGAAATTTCATATGAAAATAGTATAAATAGTATTACACCAGAATTACATGTTTTTCCTAGCTATTCGTCACGCACTATCTGTCACTTGTGCGCCACACTTAATTTCAGTCAAGCTGCATAATGCCGGCCATATCGTGACATTTTTATTAGATTATGTTGAACGAATAGAATTACTGCTCCTTTGATAATCGATTTTAATTTTTTGGCGACGCGAAGGCTGGTTTGGTTACTTTTCTCAATCATTTTCATTTTTAAAATCATATATTATCACCCATGAATAGAATCTTGGTCTTTGCATTATATTTATCAATAATAATATCACTTTTATATTTATCTAAGTTTGTAAAAATAAGCTTACTGGAAAGTGAAACGACTAATGATTATGAAATGTCTACTTCCGAGAAACCTATAATTAGTCCTGCTAATAAGAGTAACATTCCTGAACTATCTTCCAAAGAGTTCATTAAGGTTGATGGAACTCTATTTAAGAAAAATGATAAAAGTTATTATATTATCGGAGCAAATTATTGGCAGGCAATGAATTTAGGAGCGCCTGAAAATGGAAATAGATCGAGGGTACTTGAAGATTTGAAAATATTAAAAAAATATGGGGTTAATTGTGTGAGAATTATAGCGGGCAGTGAAGGACCTAATGGAGAACCTTATAGAATGTATCCAGCTTTAATGAATTCTCCTGGCGATTATAATGAAAATGTTTTTCAAGGTATGAAAATGATTTCTACATAACGTCGTTGTTGAATCGTAGATAATCTGATTTTTAAAATATAGGTCTTGATTGGTTTCTTGCTCAATTGAGTCAATTCAACATGACTGCAATCATGGTAATTCAATAATTTCAATTTATTTGTTAAATCGCATAAGTATAAACCTTTTCATTTAAAAAAAAAAAAACTTCCTTTTTTATTTTATGCAGGTATTATCAAATTACTGGCATTGGTCAGGTGGATTCGCCCAATATGTTAATTGGGTAGATCCATCTAAACCAATTCCGTATCCCGTACCCGAAGATTATTCATCATTTGAACTTTACGCAGCACGTTTTTATTCTGATTCATCAATTTATTCTAAGACACAATCTTATTATCTCGAACATATAAAATCCATAATTACAAGAAATAATACTATTACGAGTCAAATATATAAGAATGATCCAAATATTTTTGCATGGGAATTAGTTAATGAGCCACAAGCAATTAAGGTTGGAAATGATAGTCATAATATTATATTTAAATGGATTGATGATACTGCTAAATTTATCAAAGAATTGGATAAAAATCATTTGGTTTCTACCGGTGCTGAAGGCAAAAATGGGGAAGAATGGTTTATTACTATGCATAAAAGTCCGCATATAGGTAAATTAATTTATGAGATAATATTTTTAGGTTATTAAGTATTGGATAACATAATGCGTTTTTATATATAGATTTTACAAGCGCTCATATATGGGTAGAAAATTGGGGATACTATAATTCAGATGATTCTTCATTAGAGAATTATCAAAAAGCCGAAACATTCATGTTAAATTTTTTACAAAATGTTAGTGATTGGTCTACACAAAAACTAAATAAACCTTTATTAGTAGGAGAATATGGTAAAATTACTTAATTTTTTTAAAAAAAGGTGGTTGTTATTTAATTTTTTTAATAATTTCCCGTTCTCCATTAGGAATGGCAAGAGATGCTTGGTCGGGTGCATCAAAGTATTCACCTCTCGCAACAGTAATAAATAGAACTAAATACTTTAGTTCATTAGCTAATAAAGTTTTTGAATTGGAAAAACAGAAGGCTTGCACTGGTCACATGTTTTGGGCTTTTGCTGGTATCGCTAGACCAAGTGATCCTACTCCTACTTGGATTGGTGATCCCCCACATGAACGTAAGTTATTTAAAAAATTTTCCGATTTTAAAGAAAAGGAAAGATTCAAACTAAATATTTTTTTTTTCTTCTAGCACCAGGGTGGTATTCTATATATGATTCCGATGAAAAAACTTTAAATGTCTTTGCTGAGCATGCCAAACGAGTAGCTGAATTAAATTAATATTTTAAATTAATTTGTTATTTTATTATGTACTTTACATTTCAATCCATTTTACGTTATATTTATTTATTTATTATAATAATGAAAATTTTCCATTAAAAAATATTTATTCAAAATAAGTACAGTATAATATAATAATTCTATTTTACAAAATCTGAAATATTTAAAATTTCAAGCAATTAAACTAAAAAAAAAATGAAAGGTAGTTCTGTTTCTGAAGAACAGAATGCAAACTTTAAACAAAGTTGACATTGATACAACATAGACTTAAATGATATTTATTCCCTAAATTATTTTTAAATGTTATTCATATTATAGTTTACTCTAGGTAATTGACCAAGAAATCCTGGTCAAATTCTTTGGTTCATAACAACAACGTTCAACAAAGAAGTTATATGCACGATTCTTTATCCGATTTTCGAAATGCGTGATTTTCAACCAAAGACAATGACACTCTTATACAATTATATGTAATATCGACAGTATTACATATGATCACCTACAATTAAAGGATAGTTTCATTATTATAAATCAAAACATTTAATAATGATAACGGAATTAATGATTCAAAATTACATCAGAACAAAAATTTTTATCTTAAATCCTCTTGTAGATAATAAATTCCATCTCATTCTTCGCAATGTTTTTCTATCATACGATATTTTAATCAATGAAAATACTTCAATTTCCTGCTAACATGTTAGTTAAACTTCAATCATCTAATCCAATATCAAACACGAATTTTTTAATGCTTTAAACCTCTAAACAATAATATACCTATAATAATCCAAAGATTCAAACGAATCATATCGAACTCATTAAGATGATAAAATCTCAATGGGATTGAAAATTATTTTTTTAAACGAGAAATTTAAAAATTCTGAAAAAAATTTCACATAAATTCTAAAGCTGCTATTACCCATTTTTTTTTGATAATTCTTTTGCTGGTAGACCTTCTACTAATAATGTATACAAATATTTATAAAGTAATATTTAAACTGATAACAAATGATTTTTTACTTTCAATATGAACCAGTATAAAATATTTCATGTATATATAAAATTAATTGATTTTATTCATAATTCGTTGAAGGAGACAGAACGAGATTATAAAAAGAGTCAATCGAAATACAGTTATACATGAAACAAAAACTATTATTTTTATTACCACAACTTTTCATATTAATATAGTTTTCTGCAACGAGAAAATATATAGAAAAGTGATTACAATTATTAGTTCCTTCACTAGCTCTCATGATATTTCTATTTAAACTCTTATATGGTTAAAATAATAATAATTATAAGAAAAAATAATTTCATCACCATCATCGCGTTTTAATAAACGCCAGGAATAAAAATATATGGAACTTGACGACAATATTCATCCCAATCTTTACCATATTTTCTTGCACATCTCTCCATATCCCTTGTAACTCTATGAGTTAATACAAAAACGAAAAATGCGGGATAAAAATATGGTATTGGTGTATTAAAACCACAAATAAATCCCCATGAAAATGCCATCATTAAATCTGCCGAATAATGAATTTTACGTGCATATCCCCACCATCCGCCTGTTAGTATAAGGTTCCCTTGTTTAGTTTTAATGTATGAAGGATTTTTTAATGTACCCCAAGGTAATTGTGGAAATGTGCTACGTGGAATATATGTTCCATTTAATGTCATTCTGAAGCGATTTTTTTGTGAATTGGCTGTATCCCTAAAAGGGTTAATATTATTAAATTTAATAAAAATTTTTCATTTGAGAAGTTAATGAAAATTTTAGACAATAATGATTTACCAAATATAATAACCCGATATTAATAATGCATAGCAGAAAAAAGTCCATGCTGGTGAATGTTGAATTGGTCTGCCATTATCAATACTAGAAAGATGAAGGTATAAAGTTCCAAGACAATATGTAAATGGTACTAAAGCAAAGCAAAAATTATTATTACTGAATTGGATTTTAATATATTTAAATTAGTTCATTTTTTACCTCCGGCAAAATTCCAAAATATGAGCATAAAGCCAAACTAAAAATCAAATTTTAATTTTAATAAAAACATTAAATCATTGAAGGACGTCCAATTATTATACCTTTTCATATGTCATATCCCAAGTGGTTGGGATACATTCTTCTCCCTTAGCACAAGCATTAACATACAAGAAATGTGCCAAGACCATAAATGCCATAGTTGCAGAAACATAACCAAACATTTCATATTCTTTAACAGCAGCAGAAACAGAAATATAAAACAGCACAACCTAAAAAAATAACAAAAAAAAGCAATAAATATCTTCCTTTTTTATTCTTTTTTAGTTGTATTATGTTTCCACTGATAATTCTCCTTGATCTTACCCAAGGAACGCGAATTTCAGCAAACATTTTAAGGTCAACTCTTCCAAGACGAGGATTTAAAGCAGCCCCCATAAAAAGATCATACACTATATTACCAGACATACGATATTGATTTCCTTGAATAATAGTTACAATATACACAGTGAAAGTGATGGTAAATCCAGTTATAATAGACACAGTCATCAGAGGACCAAGATTATCGATAATTTCGGTTAATCTAAAATAACTGTAACGATGTAGTATATATGAAGTAATTAAAGTGACATACCAAGACATCACTCCATTACATAAGTAATCCAATTTTTTCCCATTTAATGAAGCTACGGGTGCTCCTTTTACAATCGGCCCTGGCATAAAATATGCCAAAAATAGTTCATATAGACAAAACGTTAAATAAATTTTAGTAGCATACCAAGTTGGCCATGCTTCTTTAATTATTTGAGACCATAACTCTCCTTCTAATGGTAATACTAATTTACCACGATAAAATTGTAAACATCCCCATAAGTAAAACATTAATAATGGAAATCCTATCATCATTGCCGTGACTCCCCACGGACCTCCGAATTCAAATACAATTTCATTATCAGTATCTATTAGAGTTACATTCTTTTTCTGCTTAATATCGACGGATGTTATTCCGTTAATATTAGGTTTGACTTTCACCGTGTGTTTGGATGGCATTTGAGAGGATTTATCGCGTTAATTTTTTTTTTTTTAGAAAAAAAAATGAAACCTCTCTTTTCCAGTCAAAGTATGCGTTATATAAATAAAAAAAAAGATTAGAATTTACATTGTTACGTCAATTGTTTTTTTTTTCATAAAAAAAGGTACACGACAGGTTTTGCGGATCTATAAATGTTCCGCTCAGTTTTTTCCAGATAATCAAATTGCTATAAATGGGAATGTCTGATGATCACGTGATCTTAAATTTATTTATCCTACATCACACCTGTTTTCTATTTATCCTGAAGACGAAAAAAATTTTTTTTTTTTAATGTTATAGTCTTATAGAGGTCGTGAAACTTTAGACATGACTTCTAAATTATAGGCAAGGCGATTCCATTTTGAGGATAGCAAGTGATAGTTATTTTCATTAACGTAGTGGAAGATTTCGGAAAAATTTAGATAATGCATAAAAACGGGGTAATGTGACCGAAATTGGCGGCAATGATTATCACATTTTAAGTAAGTAAAATCTCCGGCATTTTGTATAATATTCCGGAAATCTGCTGCGTCCCGACCGGAAAAATTCCGGAATTATAATCTAAGTTCTAACGGATTTATACCGGAATATCCGGATAAATTATACATAAGCTATGCCGTATTTGTCATACATCTATTTGTCAGCATTCGTAGGTAACGTAAGCAATGTAATAAATCATGTGATCGATCACGGGCTTTTAGACGACCATGTTGATCGCTGCGGTCGATTTCCGCATCTTTACAAAGTTAAAAAAAAAACTTTTTCAATGGCGGATACACCAAAAATCAGACAACTACGATCATACCTTAACTTACGAACTAGAATCACTGCTTCAGACAATCGGGTATTTAATGGAATTTTTATGTGCATTGACAAATATAAAAATATTATTTTATCGCAAACTGAAGAATTTCGGGATGGTAACTACTTAACTATTTTAAAAACTTTTTCCTATTTTAAAGTTAATTAACTAACTACTTTCTTTTTTTTTTTTAGCCGAAAAGAGGTTTGTGGGACTTGTTATGATACCTGGAAAACATATTATTAAAGCTGAAATTGAAGATTTAGAACTTTCCGACGAATATACGTGAAAGATTTTTAATTTTCTTTTCTTTTTTTTTTGTTTGAAAAAAAGGATTATTATATTAAAATTTTAACTATATAATACAAAATACAAATAAAATACAAATTTTATCCATTTCGACAGTTTGAATTTTATTGTGCTCATCAAACTAATCTACGATAGTTCTATTCATAATAATAATTAATAAAAATTTCAAATTATTTTTTACCCTCGAGCCTCATATTCCTCGTTGCAGAAGGAATAGTAACTGTTATTCCGTCCAAATCTTTTCTCATTACAATCTGACATCCTAACCGTGAACTGCATGCATTACAAAGAAATTTAGTAACAATTATGGAGAAGTAAAATCAAATCTTGAAAAATTATACTTACGTCTCTGTTAAACCAAATGCTAGATCCAACATATCATTTTCTTCATCTGTTGGTTCATCAAGTTTATCATAATATTCCGGATCCACAATTACATGACATGTAGAACACGCTAATGATCCTTCACACGCACCTACAGACAATCAAATTGTAAAAATATAAAATATTAATTGAGCAATTGAACAATTAAAATTAATAAATTTAATTTGATCGAACAAACATTCTAGATCAATATCATGCGCTTGAGTAATATCCATAATACTATCTCCAATATTAGCATTTATGGTTATTTTTTCGCCTTCAGGAGTAATAAAGTTAATCTTCACTCTATATTTTTTAAAGGGATAGATTAAAATAAGCTAGAATGAATAATTTTAATTACATAAAAAAAAATAATAATAATAAAATAAATTTACCTACCCCTCCCCTTCTTTCGGTGGAGTTATTTCTTTATGACAAAACACTAGCAAATTCAATATTTAGTAAAATTTTCAATATAAAAATGCAAAAATATGAAGCATTTATTATATATTATACCTCTTGAATTCGAAAATTTCCTGAATTGTTCTAATCTCGTTATTGGTACAAACTTATTTTTCGTTGTTTTGGGAATGTTGTTCCATATTACTTTATTTCCAGGATTTTGTTTAAAAAAAGTATTTATATGCATAATTTGTTGTTGTCGTTTATTTAGAAAAGAATTAGACGAAGATATAATACTTTTAGTATTTTGTCTTAAGTATCGCGAGAACATTATCAATATCATAAAAAATCTTGGAAAAAAATTTTGATGATTAATATTTAATCAGATTATTATTATTAAACTAAGCCACTTTCGTCTAAACATTTTTTAGATTAGATTGTCCAATCATATCATATTATTATAAGATGCAAACCCTCGCGCACGGACCATTTCGAACCAACAGTTTGGTAAAATTTCGTTACGATATGAATTCTTTAATCAAAATAGTGATCTCTTGGTTGTATTTTTGATTCATAAAAAACAATTATAAATTAATCTTAATTATAACCAATCTATCCGAAATTTTGTGCAACCTGGGTCTCGAATGATATAAAAGAACTGAATTAAATTTATATCAGTCTCATTACGCGTATCTAACTTTCACAATATTCTTCTCACTTTGTGCAAATTAATATAAAACAATTAAAGAAATTATTATGTATACTTTTTTATAAATGAAGAGAAAAAAGGATTAAATCGAAGTATACTGAAAGTACCATGTCGCATTTATTAGATTCGAATAAAATCATGGAAAGTATCTTTTGTTTTTCATCGTGTTAATTTTCTAACAATAAATGTCTAAAAAATGTCTAATACTCGCCATACTCTATATACTAAAAAAATTTAAGTAAATTACGTTAATAATGATAATACTAATCATGAAATTGAAAGTCTTTAAAACATAAGAAGAAAACGGGTAATAAACCGTAATTCCACGCACATACAACGTTCAACATAATCTTAATAAAAAGAAAGAGATCAATGAGCGATTTAAGTTAAAGATGTAAAAGATTAAAATATGTTTCACGAGTTCTTGGTAACACAGCGACAACCTATTTTTAGAAACACGTAATACATAAAAAAAAATTTCTAGCGAAGGTTTCTATCATTACGTTCAAATTCGCAAAAAATCTTGTAATTTCAGTAGTAGTAATTAGTTTTAATTAGTTTAAATTTTACATTTCGTTTACCTTATAAATCAAGTTACATTTCGTCATTAATTTAATGATTGATGAAACATGATATCATTTATTGTTATTAAATAAAATTATACAATGTATTTAATTTCAATATATTATTATATTTATATACATAATATGCATGGAGATAAGATAAATATATATGGAAATTTATATAAAAATAAACGTCCATATTTGGCTTATCATTAATTATACCTATCAGTTAATTCTTTAAAGACATAATATTCATTGCTTGACGATTGTCACTGGACAATGTACATGTCTTGCTAAATAATCACTGGTTGAACTCAACACAACCTAATATAATAAAAATGATTATATGTGTAATTATTTTATGTAATTAAATTTAAAAAAAAGTACAAAACGAACCTTTTGTAAGCCGTCAAGATTCCTTGATCCAACTATTAATAAATTCAAATCTAACTGATTTTGAGAAATATATTCCGTTAGGATTTTTCCAACCACCCCATAACCTTTGTGTTCAATAAGATCATACTGTACATTTGGCTAAACGAAATTCAGTCTTTAATTTAACATTGTTTTAAGAAAAAAAATTATTTTTTTTTTTTCAATAATGAAGCTTACATATGTATTATCGAATTTTTTCAAATATTCTCTAATTTTGTTTACAGCTTCTTTTGCATCAAGAAGAATATCAAGATTATTTGCTTTGTCTAAATTATGTCTGTTTATAGGAATAAATAGATGTTTAGTATAATCCAAAATTTTATAATAAGAATATGGATAATAGATTCCATTGTACTTACAAAAATGGAACATTTGTTTCAGGATTCAATGCAATGACATAGATTATCGATAGACTATATGAATCTTTTAAACGCGAACATAAATCGAACGCGTATTCAATTGCATTATTTGATATGGATGTTTCTTCGACCGCCACAAGAATATTATAATTCCTATTATTAAAAAAAAAAAAAAAAAATAATTTTGATTTTAATGATTGGCTTAGGTAGCACATTTCCTTTTTTAGAATTTTATTTACAAAGAAAAAAAATTATCAAGGACAAAAAAAAATCTTTGGTAAAAAAACCCCAACAAATGTTTTAGAATTGATACAACAATTAAAATATTTTCTAATATTCACAATATCATAAATTATAACAAATATTTAATTTATTAAAAAAAAAAAAAAGAAACATTCACAACTTTTACACTTACTTTTCGTTTTCTTTATACATCGTTTTTTTTTTTAGGAAAAAAACCAAGGAAATAAGGAACAATTTGAAAAAAAAATATATATATAAACGGTTATTGTGCCGAATTTACTAGACTTATGCGAGTTACTGAGAAAAAAAATGCATACTACGTAATCACGTTACCTAATCTGATTATTGAAAGCATGATTTTTAATTAAAAGCGCGTGATAATGACACTCGCTGCATAATTATCTTTAAATGGCTGAAATATATGTACGAACAAACATTACAATGCGAAGATAATAGAATCTGCAATTATTTACATAGAACGAGACTTTATATATTATTAACCGCCAAGGTTTCACTTTGCATAAAGTAATAATGTTCATCCAATCCATTATCTAGTTTTGTTATTTTGTACTACGATAAAAGGATAAAAAGGGTCAATTTTTGAATTGGATTTGTTATTATTATTAAATCTTTTTAATATTTCCTAACTAATTATACCTTTCATTTCTTTGCTGAACTGAAAGCAAACAAAACATGTCCACCAAAAGAAAATCAATGGTTCATCAAAGAAATTTTCGTGATGACAAGTTACGTCTCGAGGCTTTAACACATAAGTCTTATCATTATGAAAACCCTTCAACCGGACCCCATAACGAACGTTTAGAATTTTTGGGTGATTCCATCGTCTCCTTTGTTGTAGCTAATTATTTACATGGTCGGTTTCCTAATTTCAAAGAGGGTCAACTTACCTTATTACGAGCTAATTTGGTCTGTAAAAAAAAATTGGCACAATTTGCCCTTCAACTTGGTTTAGATAAAGATATTCGTTTAGGGGTTGGAGCTTTACGTGATGGTGGTAGAGGTAGTGAAAAAGTTCTAGAGGATGCTTTCGAAGCATATATTGGAGCTGTATTTCTTGATGCAGGTTCTAGTATGTCTGAAGTACAAAAATTTATGGAACCTTTATTAGCTCCAGCCGTTGATGAATTAACCCATTGTTCTCCTAACTCAACTTCCGTATTAAAACAAAAATTATTTCAACAAGATAATAGCAACATACAATTACAAATGCTTATTGCAGACCAAATCTTAAATTCTGATCTTCAAGATCCGATTAATAAACTTCAAACTTGGTCTCAAAGAAGAGGGATGGGAATTCCGGTTTATAAACCTAATAGTGATGAACAAAATGCTGTCTTTTCTGTTGGTGTATATATTAATGGAAAATGTTTCGGTCTTGGTCAAGCAAGAAATAAAAAGGATGCAAAGAAAGCAGCCGCAATTAATGCTCTAAAACATGTTACCGTTAATGGTCAAAACAACGAATTTACTCCTTTTAAAAATGAATTACAACAGTCACATATTAGTTCAAAACACAAATATTCTCTGTCAAAAAAAATTCTTTATTAATCCTGTCTTCTAACAGACTACGGTAATTCAACCAAGTCGTTCCTTATCAAAATGATATTAATATTGAAGAATCCTCTTTGAGTACAGTGATCTTCAGTGTGGATCAACTCGTTAAGGGTATTCTTTTTTCTTTAATAATCAAAAAAAAATATATACATATGTATATATTTCTCTTTATTATTTATTTCATATTCTTTTTGAATTGATTCACACCGAAGATTATCGTTCTTATTATGTTCGATATTTGGAAGTAGGGTTCTTTGAATGATTTCATTTAATTTTTTTTTTTTATTCTCTCATTTGTTTTATAAATATCGTTAAATTATTATTATTATTATTATTATTTAATCACTCCTTAAAGTCTTGATTGTTTACTTTTTTATTATCAATAAAAAAAATTTTTTTTACCAACAAACCAGTAATAATAGACCAATTAATGAATATAGAAAATTAATTTTTTTTTAAGGAAAAATTAAAAAGGTTAAAATTTTCTTTTTGTTGTACGATAAAACCAGTTTAAACGTGATAGTTACTAAGAACAATGTTTATGTTTTTAATTAAGAGTTAACCAATAAAATTTTTCTGCTGATCATCTATAAATTTACATCACCATTCACAATACAAGTTTCTCATGCTATTCTCTCAAAGTAGTTACTTTTAATACAATACTATTTGTATTAAATAGAAGAAAGTTTATGGCTTTTTTATACGTTTAAAAGAGAAGCCACATTTTTGCTTTGAAGTTTTACTGAACTGGATTTATTATTATTAAGCTTTTTAGTAATATGGGAAGTTGAAACTCCCGTAATTACACGAACTTTCATTGATAAATATAGAATCCATAACATGGAGTTACAAAATAGCCATTTACCTTTTACTATAGCTTACTTCTGGAGGGCAATGTGAATGGAATAGTCCTCATTCAATATTCATTTTCAACAATTATTAATGTCGTACTTTGATAAATAATACTTGGCAGAAGGTTCTTTAAATGGTTAATAAATAATAACCAATAACGTTGTTGTTTTTATGAGATGAAGATTAAATAATTAGGAAGCCCGGTGTATACAACATGGTTGCACTGATGCTCATCAATGGAGCGAGAAGAAATTTTTGTTGATAAATAATGATAATGCAATTTCTATAAAGTAATTCTTAATTTCGAAATATAGTGTAATTGTGTTTCATTATGGTTCTTTAACCTCCAAAGACCCAATATTTAAAGCAAAAAATAAAATAAAATAAAATAAAAATAATAAAATGGCGGAGTATAAAATATTAAGGTTATTTTTTATTAAAACTAAATTTTAACATACGAACTTAAAATATAAAGTATTGTCATTGAACGAAATAGAAAAATTTTACATAATACCTTGTTTATTGTCTATGAAAATTTTTTTCATTTATATTAATAAAATCAGTAGATACAAAATTTTAAAAAAAAAATTTACAAAATTTAGGCATTGGATTTTTTTAATACTGCGTTCCAGAAATCCATATATGCTTCTGCATCTTTATGTCTCATTTCTGGGTGTATTTCAATAATATTAACTTTCCATTTCTGCACTTTCTGAGGTGTAATTTCGTTATTATACTTGAAATACACACCAACCACATTATTGAAAGTATCTTCATGCGTCTTCCATTTGTATGATTTAAAGACCCATTCGTTACCATCAGTAATAACACAAACAACACGATCCCAATCTGGATCTCTTAAAGATTTGACATTATCTGTTATTTCATATTGAATTCCGTTGTGTGTGAGAAATATATTGTGCTCTATCTTTCCTCCAGATGTACGAACCGATGATCCTGGTTCAAATCTCTGATCCTCTAATAATTGCTTAACATTATACATTGAAATAAAAGCATTGAATGAAGGTGGGACAACGATCAATGGAACTTTGGAACCTCTTGATTTCTTGTGATGTGAACGCGATGACCTTGATGCTTCACTAGAATTACGTTCTTGACCTAAAGAATTATGAGATCTCTTCAAGAAATAGTCATCTGCAGATTTAATCCATGAAGCATAATCACCTAGTTCGAATATAATGTCTTCTTCAAATATTACAACCTCAGTTGGCTTAATCGCATTTAGGAACGATTGATAATTTTTTCTGTATTCTTCTCTCTTGGCTCGTTTATTTTTTATGTCTTCTTCTGTTTCCTCTGTTGGTGGTTGTCGACGTTTTTCATTATTATGTCGACTTGAAGACTGCGATGATGATGAACCTGCTTCTTTATTTTGCCTGTTATTTACGTCAGGTAGAAAAGCAAAGCCATTTACAAATGGAAGCCAATCTTTCCTATCCATATATGCCAACCGAGTTGGAATCTGTTGTCGAGTTGCATCCTGTGAATATTCAGTATGGTGTAACTTTCTTGTAACAGTAGCATGATATAAAGCATCTAATGAATAAAAATTTTCATTTATTTTACTTTGAAAAGTAGTAGTAGTAGATTTATCAAATTTTTGAGATCCAAGTCGTATAAACTTGGCTTCGTTCAATGTTGAAACTATTGAATCTGACTCATCAAGTAACTCGGCATCTATTCTATGTAAATTGAAATCTCTAAGAAGATATATTGGATCGGGATTTTCTGACATCGTTATGAAACAGAAAAACAGAAACAGTAGAGAGGTCTAATTTCATGTTTCCATGAACATATCATGTATATCATGTGACTGTTGTGTTGGTAAATTCCAACCAAATTTAATGCCGGCCAAACAACAGTATCACAACTAACCCATTTTTGAATGTTTCACATTAACTATCTCTAATACCATTTTTGAATCATTCATTCAAAATATCCTTGAATAATTTTGGCATGGCGTTTTTTTGTAATTTTTGTTTCTCAATCATATTATGCAAGTCTCGTTGAATTCAGAGTGTCTTCTTATCCCTAAATTATTAAATTAATAAATAATAATGACAAATCCCAAGGTTTGGACAAAAAATTCAGCAAAGGGACTCGTTAGTAAAGGAAATTCAAGGGCTCGAAAACCAAAAGAGGGCTCGAAAACCTTAGAACTTCTTCCCGAAGAAGAATAGATAAAACTACAAATAAAAGATGAAATTGTTTTAAGGATTGAGATCATACAACCATTTAAGAAACTAATCTCAGATGATACTATCGTATAGCATTGCATATAGGAATTATAGTATCTCTTTAAGTAATACCCGAGGTATTTTATGCGGTGCTCTAGTCGGTATTTAATTAAGGCTTTCTAGTTCTTTTGTGAATAAATCGCATTTCGATATCAAATTTTTCATAACAAAGCAATTAACTTTTGTTTTGGCGAAAATTATTTTCCTTTACTTATCTCTTTGTATCTTTTCTTAATATAAAGTCTTATCACCTGAGGCGATATTATTCTTAGGAATAAATCAGCTCATTTCTTGCTATGGTGAAGCCTAATGGCTTTTATATAATTATATATTTATATTATATTTTATCGTATATTCCAAAGTTTTAGCAATGAACCAATTAAATAAATTTGAACTAAACTATTTTTTTCGGAAAATGTTCCCTTTACGAAGAAAAATAACCTTTATTTGGTGTAGCAATCAATGCTAAATTTTCTAGAGAAGTTGATGGTTCAACATAATAAATTAAATTTACATCATATCCATTTGCTTCTAGATACTTGGCTCTCCCTATGTCTATAATTCGTTTACATTTGTATCCTAATTGTTCTCTTACCGAATGCTCTAAACCAGAATAATGCAATCTATTAAATAAGAATAATTGTCAACCGACAAATCTAAAGTCGCAGCTTGTAATACATATTAGTATTAATAACATACTCTTACTTTGTATTTTCTTCATCATCATCTGTTTCATTATAAGTATGATCATCTTCATTGTCGTTATCATCATTGTCGCTATTCTCAGTTTCATGAGTAAGTCTTTGTCCACAAATTGCCCAGCTGCTCATCGCGCATATTCGCTTAAAATCATTTTCCGCAATTCCGTAATCTTGAAGAAATTTATGATATGGATACATGTGATAACGACAAAGTTGGTGACAACATAGTGCTATAACGATCCCGATAACCGGATTCCTGTTGTGTACGGAAATAAGTTAGTATGGCTATTTCATCATGACACGAAACTAAGATAATCAAATGATTTACCCATCTATACTAGATTTAGCGTAGTCAACCAACGATTTTAGAGTGGTATCTGTGGCTGATCCACAAAGATGTTTAGAATATGCCACGACATTTCTGCCTTTTAAAAGATCTAATTTTGACAAATCCAAATCTTTGATATCCATTCCGATACGTTTCACCAATAACTTCTTTTCTGAGGTACCTCTTATCGCGCTATCAAACTTTAATATAAATAAAATTTGTCAAAATATATTCCATTAAAAAAATCAATGGAAATGATATCAACCAACCTTACAACGCGTATTCTTACGATCTACTAAAATAAAAGAAGCTGTTTCATCTTGAATAGCCATTTTTATAAAATATGACAATTCACCTGAAGTAAAGAATTAAAGATTATCGTTAGAAATGAAGAATTATCATAAAAAAAAATAGATTTAAACATTAATAACCTTTGCCAGAACCATATTCTATGAAACAGGTGTTTTTGCGTAACAAATTTAATTTTTCTAAATGGCCAATTAAAGAAGCCTTTTCCAAGAGTTAGTTTGATTATATAATAAACCGGCAAAAGGATCGCTAAATAAGTATTTATTTATTACCTGTTGGACCGCATGTTTTCTATTTTTAGTTGACTCTCTAAATCGATGAAGTCAAAAATTTTAGGTGTAAACCTAATAAAGAATTCAAATTCAAAAGGGGCTTACTTTTTTTCCTTTAAGACCATATGATCCATAACTTCCGTCCTTATATCCGGTATAAGTTGTTGGTACCATTGATTTACATTGCTGATCAATTTATCAAATATTTCTTTAGAAAGATCTGAAAGCGTCACCTTTTCTTCTAATTCAGGAGATGGTAAAATACAATTGATATTTGAAGAGAAGTAAGGAGGAGTTGGTGGGGGACGAGAATTACATTTTTCTAAATGTTTTTTGATTTCATCCGTATTTACTGTACTAGATAATGAGAAACGAAAAAGCAAAATCATTAATTATTAAGTAGGAAAGTAGGAAATAAATTTCTTTCTATATGTGTCACGTGACTTACTGCGATGGATCATAGGGGCAGGCAATACGTTCTTTGCCTTTCCATTTTGTGTCATAGATTGCGTGTTCTCCACAAAAATCATTGTCAATCTTTGTTGGAAGATGACAATATCGCCTAATTTTATTAAAAATGGTTAATTTTAAATAATATGTAATCACCACTTATATAATATTGAATTAAGCGTGAGATCAATCACTTACCTCTTACGTTTTACCCAAAAATGACATTGACGAGGCTAAATTTACCGTTATTTAAAAATACTCAAAAAAACGATCATTTTTTTCCGGATCAAATTTTTTATAATTTTTTTTTACCCAAAACTTACGTTATTTGGAGGAAGTGGAGGAGGTTCTTCCTTTAGACGGTTCGCTTTAGGTCCTTTTGGCATAAAAGTTCTGGTTCACAAAATACAAAATAGTAAATTCAAAAAAAAAAAAAAAAAAAAAAAAAAAAAAAAAATTTCAAAAAACTGGTATATATACTGTATGCTGTGTAGCTTTGAGGTTTGTGAGGTTTGTGCTACATTACAGATATCACAGACACTTTTTCAACTTTATTCGTTATAATGCAGTTATTTTAGTCTTTGCAGTTTTTACATTATTTCAAATTTTCATTTTATTTAATAATAAAGAAAAAAAGTAATTGAATTGACATTTTGTACAAAAGAAGTTATGTGTAGAGTTTTTTCAATCTACTGGAATTTTCTATTTTGCTATTTTCGTGTCCATTATAATGAATAAATAATATAAACACAATCAATTTTATATAAAGCTTTATTTATTTATTTTTATTTATCTGATTCGAGTTGACAAAAGGATCTTTTACAATACTTAACTTATTACAGAATTTGTATATGTCATATGATACATAATAAATACTTTATTTATATAGAGTAGTTGAGTAGTTTATAGCCTTATCGATTGTTGACAGTTGTCACACTCTATTACAGAATTTTCGCTAACTTCTTCGTTTAAATTTTATAAGAATATTTTATAGAATTAATTAAAAAAAAACCATTTTGATAAAATTTACGATACTTTAATCACTCTATAAATTCCTTTGGGAACTCTATCCTCATGTTTGCGGCAAATGATTTCGAACCAGAATTTTATTATACTTCAACACCGCCAGATCTAATTTCAACTAGTGATAGTGACTTGGAAGAAAATAACAATGTACAAGAAGAAGACATAGAAACTGGTAATAATGAAACAGCAGACGATCTCCCAAACGGACGCCATTATGGTGATTACAATACAATAAATATGGAATTGGATGGTGAATATACTTCTGAAGACGAAGAACAACGTCCTCGTTCAACACCAGCATCTACAGGTCACGCTTTTCACCGTCTTGCTGACCCCTATGCCACTCGACATCACCATAGATCTTCTTCACAACGCAGTCGTGGCTTTTCTCCGTTAGGAACACGGTTTTCGTCTTTGCGGAGACAAAACGCAATTACTTCTTCTTTTCTTACACAGCATATTAAGCATAATAATGAACTTGGAAAACAAGCAATATCTGGTAGTGGTTCAAAAGATTTGGGACAATTTCACTTACCAGAATCTAGTTATTTACGTGCTGGAATGTCTTTCACTGGAACGCAAAACTTAATGAATTCACAACCCCAACAAAGAGACGAAGAATGGGAAGTTAAAGTGGTAAATATTAATGAAATTACAGTTATAAAATTGTATTAATTTTAATCGATTATTTTATTATGTAGACCGTTCACTATGTAAATTATAAAACCGGAACTGTTATAGGATTAATGGAAGCTTTAAATGTACCGAATAGTTCAAATACAGTTGTTACATATTGGGAGGGTGAAATGATTGATTTTGTTAACCATTCTCTTTGGACGGATAAATGGAATTCAAGTCCGGAAATTGATCTTCAACATTGGAAAAAATTTGAAGCTTTCCGTCAAATGGATGTTCGAAGGTACTTGAAAATTTATGAGGTTATGTCTTTTTAACATTTAATATAATAAATATTCAACCATATTTTTAAATTAGTATAATCAGAGGTACTCCAACCAGAGAATGGTTTCAAGAAGCATGTCAAAAGTATATATTTATGAGATGGAAGGGTACGCATTTTATCCTTTTTTTGTTCGTTACACAAGATTTTTTTTTTTTTTTTTTTTTTGAGGTGCATAATTTATAATTTATTATATTTATATAGAACATTATTTTGTTAATGTTACTGCTCAAGAGAGTGGATTAACTATTGCCGGCTTTTATTATATTTGTATCAGAAGAAGCGATGGTGCTATTGAGGGTAATATTTAGTTTATAATAATAATTAGTTTTATATTATATATATAAAACTTGATTATTGATGATAATTCTATTTTATTAGGATATTATTTTGATCCTGTTTCTACACCGTATCAGAAATTAACTCTTAAACCACTGTTAGAAGGAGATGGAATTTCATTTTGTGATTATAGTCTAAATTAAAATCACTTTTTGAATATATATTATTTTATTTTATTTTGCCTGACAAAACAACAATTGTTATATTTTCACATTTATCTTACCGTTTATAGTAAAAAAAAAAAAACGACATTATTTTATTCGCAAACAAAAATTTATCAATATATTTTTTTTCATTGCAAAGGCAAATGAATATCTGTAGTATAGTATTAAGAATTTTTTTTCCTTTTTTATATGAATATAAACAACATATATATGTATATACATATAGTATTTTTAAGAGATATATATATATATTTTCAAAAATGAAAAATCGAAAAAAAAATGATTTTTTTTTATTAAAAATCAGAATAATATATATATCCAACTCTATAATTCTTTTTTTTTTTTTTTTTTTTTTTTTTTATTTTTT